CCACCTCATTTTTATTGGTTTCATTGTCTTTTAAGCTTTGATTTTTTTTTTCTTAAACCTAGAGTTTAGGTTCATACTTTGTTGAGAGATATTCCAATTCTTTTATTTTGCTTAAAAGATCTTATTTAGAAGTGCATCTAAACTAAGATGATGTTGTTAGAATCATGTGAAGCATATTACAAACATCGTAGATGTACAAGTGATGAGTAATAAAGTCTTAAGGATAAAAAATTCATCATTGATAACAACAAGAGTTTCATTCATTTAAAATGCTTTAATAAATAAGTGTCATTTTTTATTTTAATTTAAGCATTGTTATTTATATTATTAATATATATGCTAGGACTTTGAACTTGTATATATTATAGGTTTTACTATATGCTTAGTATGTATGCTATTATTATTTTTATTATATTTATGTTAAAAACATGATTGTCTTGAATTTTTTTTCTTACATGTTTATAGATTTAAAATTGCATATATTCTAAACTTACCTTGAATAATCTTTTATGTTTTGTATACTTTTATTATAATAAACTAAATATTTTTACTCACTAGTCTAATATAACAAAACATATTTTAACAACAAACTATACTCAAATTATGTATCAAAATGTTTTTAAGTCATAGAGTAAGAGTATTAAGTTAAATATTAAGAGTAATTAGTAACGCAATGCATTACACATGTAAATGAGTCATAAATTGTTTTTTTAAAATAAATATACATGACATGGATTCTTTACACGCACGCGCGCACACCAAATCAAACTTTTAAATTCTGATATACATTTTTCGGTTTAAATTATTTTTATTGAATTCATCTCTTCAAAACAAACTTATTGATATTAAAGTAAGTGTTTTTAATGGTAAATCAAAACACTTTTTTTGGTTTCTGCTATGCTTTTATCAACTAGATTTAAGGTTCAAACCACCTCAATTAAATTTATCTCTTTAAGATCAACTAATAATAATATAATTATTAAATTTATCCCTTTAAGATGAACCAGTAATAATATAATTGTGTTTTTTTTAGCTACAATGTTGTTAGTCAAAAGCTTTTTATGTTCACTCTCTCTTACTAAAATATAATAAAAATAAAATTTTATAATTGAAACATAAAATTTAAAATTTACAAGAATTAAAGTGCAAAAAACACCTTCCTGAACGATGTAACAAATAATACTTTAGTTTTTTTTAATTAAGAACATAAAAATTTTAAATATGCACAATATCTTTTTTATACAATTAAATAAACACTATATAATAGCATATAAATATTACCTCCAAAAAGATATATTTACAGTATATTATTATAAATATTAAGGGGGAAAAAACCAGAAAAGTGGACCGCACCAACCCAGTCGGCGAGACCCGAACACAGCCCGGTCCCAAAGAGCTAACCGATCCCTACGCAAGTGGGACCAATATTAGAAAGATCAACGGCACAGATTGCACATGAAAACATTCAAATGTAAAAGAAGAAACACGCAAGCCCAGCTATTCTTTGACAAAAAACGCTAACATCGCCGTCAATTGCACCAGAAGAAGACTCTCCTTCGCGTCGTTTCAATTCACATAGAGAAAAAAGAAGAGAGCGATGGGAGGAGCACAAGCTTTGAAGAGAATCCCTCGCATCAAATTCCCTCAAAGACACTCCACCAAATCCTCTGGTTCACTCGTCTTTTATTAATCTTTGATTTCACCTTATTGCTTCTTTTTTTGTTGCTTGATGTGATCTGTTGTTAAAAATTGTTTCGGCAGTAGCAACACATACCATTACACCATCCATTGAACTGTAGGTCCCATAAATCGAATGATTGTGATTATTTTCGCTATAATTAGTATTAGTCGAGATCCATTGCTGCATGTTTATTTGCGATCATGTAGTATAAAATATGCAATTTTCGTTAACTTATAATATATGCTTTAGGAAATATGAACTGAACTGTCTCCGAAGGCTGCTACATACTGAGTGTTGAGGAAATTGATTGTTAGGTAATGGGTCGCAGCCGGAAGAAGCATTGAGATTTGGGAGTGCTTATCAAGCTTTCTTTTCTAACTTCAAGACTTCAACTTCTGTTGGAGGGAAAGCTTCTCTTCAGCCCAAGCGAACTCCAGTTTCGAATGAGGAGATTGAGGCGATCTTGGTATGTTAAAATATTTTTTTACGTGTTGTTTACGCAATAAGCTCACCTGCATTCTCAATATGGTGATCTGATTACTAATGAAACACTGAATTATGCTACTGCTGGGTGCTAATTATTTACCCTTGGTGGTAAATAGGTTGCTAGTTTGGTGCAAGTGCAAGAAGAGGCATTGAAATTGAAATTTGTTGTTATGCGTCAAGTAGTAAACAAATTGTCATAGATTTTGCTTCTGATATCTCGAGCATTTTGATTTTGATTTTGATTTTTTTTTTTAATCTTCTAAGCTTGGTTATGAAACCTGATATATTGAAAGGGTAACGTTAGAGTTTGTTTATATTCTGATTTCATGTTTTCTCCTTGCATTTGACGCAATAAAACAGATTGTTTTGTGGGTCTCTTCTGGGTTGTTAAACAAATGAATTGTTAGGTAATCCAACAGCTCGTAAGTCATGCATAGCATGCATTGAACAAGACACGCCCAATTCACTTCACAAGCATGATATATTTTTCTTGCTTCTCATTCTTTCAGTTGCTGGCTACTAATTTACCTCTTTATGCAATCCTTTGGCAGTTGGGTGGATGTATCTGAGCTTCTCTTGGAGCTCTGAAAAGGGAGCTGCAACATTCGTTTTTGCTCTTTTAGTTTTCAAATACAAGAGTTCATTTCAACCAATACCATTGCTTTGTATGGAGTTCATTGAAACACAATCACTAATGCAATTTTCAATGTAATTGAGGTTTTCTTGGCTCACACATGGTTTGTTGATTATTGATACTTTGACGGTGGTGAGATTTTTACAAATAATGGAGGGTTTCTTGGCTCACACATGGTTTGTTGATTATTGATACTTTGATGGTGTGATATTTTTATAAATAATTGAGGTTTTCTTGGCTCACACATGGTTTGTTTATTATTGATAGTTTGATGGTGTGAGATTTTTACAAAATGGAGTTTATTGCTGCCTGAACTGGAATTGATACATATTCAAAGGATTTGAGCAAACACTATTTGCAACAGGAAAATGTAACTAGGAAGATGATTGTGATTCAGTTTCATAGAATGCTTCGATTATTGCGGACCCGGGATTTTTTCCTGGAGGGCCCTTCTCCCTACGTTCCAGCTCGTCCAGGCGGATAGTAACTAGCTCTTCCAGGCGGAAAGTAACTAGCTTATCCCATTTTCCTCCTTCAAAGATAACTCCAGCCTTTCCGTCAGTGATTCGCTGAACAATGCCAGTGTACATGTAAAATGGGTTATTCGGGTTCTTCACAATGGCAGTCATACCAGGCAACAGCAGTGGCAGTTCTGGTGGTTTTGGCCTGCTTGTGATTGTAAGCTTCGGAACTGATTGTTTCTTTGGAGGTGGGTTTTCCTCAATGAATCTTTTCAACCCCTTCCCTCCACCAGGAAAACCCCCTGTTAATCCCATCAGCTTTTTCAAAAGCATCATCCGGCACGCTTGATTTTTCCAAGCTACCTGAATTTTCTTCTCTACCAGCAGTTGATGATGCTTATTCTTCAATGTTTCTCTTTAGTTCTTGTTGCACACCTTTTTCTTCATTACAGAGTCCCCTGCCTCCCAGGATCTCGAAAAGGTCAAGTTTGGCACATGTTTTAAGTTTCAGCCTATGATCTTTGGGGATCAAGAGTATGGTTTATGAGGATGATTGAAGCAGTTGTTTTGACCAAGAAAGTTGGACCTAAGTAGAGTATTTTAAGAGTGATAGAAGACGCCATAGTTTGGTGTTCCATAAGCCGCCAGCCCTGCAGAAAGAAAGGAGAGAGCCTTCACTTAATGTTTGATGGATAGTCCTATCACTTAATGTTTGCCACTAATATATTTCTGTCACTATTGTGTTATCTGACTGACCCATCATGCATTGACATTATGGCCCCAATTGATAATAGCTATATCAGTCATGCTCTATGGCGGGTCGAATGAGGAAAAAAAAAATAATATTTAGTCAACGTAACTGCGTTTTAAAAAAAATCAATATTTAATGACAAAATTGATGCTGAGTTAGTTCTGCCCGAGTTAATATACTGCGGTTCAAATCCCAATTGTTTAGCACAACTCGGAACATCCTGGCTGGTCCTATCAAAGTTACGATGCACCACTGTACTCAACATCATGCCACTTATAATTGGTGGGAGGAAAATAGTAATTGAGCGTTGAATTAGACAAAGCTCCATGATGTCTCTTATCACGTTTATGCTGTAATTCTTCCCTTCTTCCAGCAGATAGAATTGCTCCGGTAGCAGCGGCATTGAAGGAAGAGAAGACGGAGTATAAAAGCAACTTCTGAAAAAAGGATGTTTTAAGGCCTCCTCAGCAGAGGACCTATTGAAGGATTCCAAGAACAAAGCTTCCTGATCAGGTTGATTGCATCCCCACTAGTAGATGGTATAAACGCAGAAAGCTGGACACCATCAAACTTTGGAAATTGGTAGCTATTAGTCCTTGCAAAATGAATTCCTTCAGCCCAGGAACCCGTTGTCGGACTGCCTAGTACACTACATATTTTGTACACCTGGTTTGCTTCAGTAGTACCAGGAAAAAGAGGACGGAGAGTAAATAACTCGACCATGATAGCACCCATAGCCCACATCAACCTTAGAACTATAAAAATCTGATTGTAGCATCACTTCAGGCACCCGATACCAGCGTGTGGAGACATATTGTGTATATAGTGGCAACGAATTGATTTCTCTTGCAAGACCGAAAACAATCTTACGATGTCATTAGTAATTAACAAATTCTCTGGCTTCATGTCGCGATGAAAATATACTTTTTGATGCAAGACCCTGAAACACCTGACAGCTCAAGTTCCTAACTTCAGCTTCTGAGAACATGTTTTTCCTGTGTCCAGGGACTTGATAAAGGTTCTGTTCCATGTACTCGAAAACGAAATACAAAATGCTGTTTTCGCGAATAAGTTCTGTAAGCATCACGATGTTTGAATGATTTAACTTCTTCTGTAAGGATTTCACTTCTCTTAAATCCAGGCATTCCTCCCGGAGTCATACTTTTTCTTCGTCTGCTTTGGCAACAGCTTCACCAGACTATTAATTCCCTGTTTAACACTGCCGAAGTCCTCCTCCCAGGTTCTTTAATCAACTTACACCTCTCCATAAAATCAAAAGACCTAAAAGAACTCCAAAAAAAAAAAAATCCCAGTTGGATACTTCTTGAATTGAGTAACAACATTGATAACAATATTTTAGGTTTTAGATCTAAGCTAGTGCACAAGACTCTGAAAGCAAACTGAACAGTTTCTAATCAATTAGTACCTGTTCGTTCTCTCGATCACTTCCTCTGCTGTAAAAAAAAAAGAATATTAAACTAAATAGGAAACAATTATATTTATATTATTGTAGCTGTTTGAATCATGTATTATCCATGGGGCTATCTGATTTGAAATTCTTGGATAACAAGGACAGAAAATAGGAGAGCGTTTTTTTTTTAAAAAAGGGAGGACACAGGAACCTGCCAAATTCATATGCCATAGGAACCATGGCCAATAATGCCAGTGGCCATAGCAAGAAGAGCCAACGAAGCGAAAGGCCCAAAAGGATAATTATGAAATTTTACCCTTCACTACTAAATAACCAATAAAAAGTCCACTTTTGTTCATATTCTTATTTTATTTTTCTATCATTTTTTCTCTCTCGCATGCTATAATATCTCATAAATTTAAAAAAAAAAAAGTAATTGAAAGGGGCTATTTAATGATTTTTGCCTAACATTATACATTTTTGAAAAGTAGAAAGATAATATTGATGAGTTTTGAAATATATGGACAGAAGTAGAGGATTGATGAATGTATAAGAGCAAAAATGAAGTTCAAACAACCAAAAAAACTACTATACCTAACAGTCACGATGTTGTATATATATTTCGATGGTGGGTCAAACCACTTTCCGTGTGCTCAACAAGAAGAAGCAAAACACAACATAACGATATCCATTAATCTTTCTTTCTCTGTAATAAAGAAAACCAAAAAAAGTCTCTTTCTACGACAGACAAAAGGCATACATACGGTAAGCAAAGCAGTCCACTTTGTCTTTAATCATCTATTCTTAAATTATTATCTTATCTGTTTGATGATCAAGGAATTTTTTTTTTCTTTTTATGTGAGCGGCAGCAAGGCTATGTAATTAAGTTCGTTTTCTGTTTCAAAAGAATTTTGTTGTTATGAGATTTGATTAGATTCTTTGAGTATGACTTGACGGGCTGGTTGCCTTTTCTTTTTGATCCTCTGGTGTCGTGTAGTTGTTGATTTTAGTGTACAAATTGGTGGAGCTTTGTGCTATCTGGGAAATCTCAAGCACTTCTTTTATTGGTGATTTGAGGTTGATGAGGCTTCTTTCTAAGGGCTTAATGGAGAAGAACTTATGGGGTTGGCGATTTATGTGTTTGTTTGTTTTGGCAGCTTTTATTTTAGATTTCCATCGCAATGCATCCATTGCAAGAATTCTCCGGTTAATTTTTATGATTTGCTGAAAATTTAGTTTGATCGTGTCCTCTGAGTTTTTTGTTTCCCGTGTGATTATATATATGTACTGCCCCTAGGCAATATATTCCAAGCTTTTAAAGCATATTCAAATATCCATTGATTGGAGGGATTGATTTTTACGTGCTGAGCTTTATAAAGTTAATCGTTTGTTCAAGTTGAATTATCTAGTGCATATCTCTCATTCTGATCTGTTTTCTTTTCTTGCCATAGGTTTTGTATCATCTTCTTCAAATAAACACGTAGCTTCATTGATGATAGTCCTGGGAGGTTAAATATTATCCCCGATCACTTTCAAGTCTCAACCTCTGGTGAGGACACTCCTCAAACCATAACTTCATCTACTGAACAGCCAAAAATTGATAATTCATCCAGGTACTTGTTTTTTCCTTGAAGAAAAGGAAACGAAGGAGAGAGTGATCCACGAGCTTTGTATCGATTTTGTTTCTTCCTCTGATTTAGAATAGGTCAAGTAGCCATTTCTGGTCTGGGAGAAAACTACAAAGTGCTGCATTCATGCTGAATTTGTTTAGCCTGCGAAGGCTGTCATGGGGTTCTAGCACCAATGGTCAGGAAAAGGTTTATCAAACGACCCTTTAAGACATGCTTATAAATTATTTTAAAGTTATGGTGTCTAATCAGGAAATTGTATTTTGATTTGCAGGTTGAGTTAAGTGTGGTAGAGTTAGAATCGCTTCGATCAGAACTTGCTTGCTTAGAAGAGAGGGAAGCTCATTTGAAAGCTCAGTAAGGACTACTTTATCATAGGCTGGAAAACTGTAGTGTTCAATTTAGCACAGCAGATAATAAATCTATTGATTAGATCATTGGCAATGATCAGCAGAAGTGAACACAAACAAATGATGCAGTTAGGGAAAACAATGACTAAATTTAATTTTGGACCTAAACATTGTCAAGAGATTGTTCTCAATCTTCTATTTTGTATGAAAGTTTCAGTTTCAAGAATTAGTAATAAAATGAACTTAGACCTTCCTTTCAAAATTCGTTGCGTATTTATAAGGTTTATTTACAATAATTCATATTCAACTCTTGAATATCTCAACGTGACAAAACATGAAATTCAGCATACTCGGTTTCTGATAAGTTGGAATAATGCTCTTGGTTAATGCAAATCAACAGCAAAATCTTTTCTGTACAGGTTGCAACATGTTGATGAAATTCTGCGCTCTGCTCGGTTCTCTGGTTATTTGTACATCCGAACTGTAATGAATTTCTCCTACTTGCTTACGCCACTCTCTTTTCGGATTTTAATGCAATTTTTTATGGACCTAGCAGTTAACGGTTCTTT